TTTTTTTTTTGGTTCGTTTTTCAACTTACGTTTGTCCATTCACCGTGACCGCTTCCTTGGTGAGGTGGAAAGCAAGGTCGTTGATCGTGACCACCACATAAGCCACAGTGGGGTTCCCATCATTCTGCTCCCTCCTCATATGCACCGAGAACTCCTGCATGGCCTCGTGGCAGTCGGAAGCAAGGTTGTACTCGCACGCGCCGGAAAACTGGTAAACGTCGCCGTCGAATGTCTTAAAGTGCTCTCTCCCCCATGTGCTGCAGATACTGCTGACATGGTTGCTGACTGAACGAGATAGAAAACAGTCGGGGGTGAGATTATGTTTTCGGATGAAGTGACAAAAAAAGTGTTTGATTGGTCTTACCCAGTCTGGCCTTGACTTCAGTGACAACAAACAAAGTGAGAAAATAGAAAGTGACACATTTCCACCTCATGGCTGCCACAGTTCCCATCATCAATGCAAGTCACATTGGCTGACTCTTCTCTTGCAGCTCCTTATATTTAGACTGCTCAATTTGATCACACCTTCTTTCAGGCAAGTTTTATTGCCACCACATGGAAAACGTGTTGAATGGATGTCTGACGCCAATGTAATAATACCCACATCCTCCTTGTGACATCATTAAGCAAATTTGCTTGCAAATCAATTGAGAGATTTTCATGAACAAGATGAAATGAATAAGGTAATCAGCTGCGATCACTTGAGTATTAGTCACCAAGAATGAATACATTGGGAGATCTTTTTTTTTCCATTTCTAGCCCTCTATGAAGGTTATTGTCCCCTATGAGTATCAGAGTAAAAATGAAAGTCCTTCCTATGAAATAAAGCAGAAACACACCAGACGTGAAGACAAAACAATCCTCACACAAGCATCACAGAGGCCAGTATCAGCTTTAGCATATCTCAAAACACAGAGTTCCCAACACTCAAAGGATAAACACATCTAAGATATGGCACCTTTACTTTAAACACAAAACGCTTGAGGTCAAAGACTGCATCATTAGCAGAAGGCTTATGGAAAGTTGTGGTGGCTTGCATAAACATGTTAATATATAAATACGTTTCTCTTTATCAAATAACCATTTTGTCTCCTCGTATTTTTCAAAAAGTATTCTCCACAACGCATGTTAAATTTTTCACTGAACTAAGACACCTTAATGCGTTTTTTTCAAATACAAAAATTGTTCAAGAGGGCATCATTGACTGGTATCAGTAACTGGTATTGGCAGCCACTGC